AAAATATAAGGGGGTTAAAAAAAAAAAAAAAAAAAAAAAAGATACCCAGCTGAAGGGGAAGGGGAGGAGGCAGAAATGAAAAAAGAAAGGCAGAGGATTAGGTCCTAACCTAATCTACTTTGGTTAGGACCTAAATGGCTTTGTAAGGTTCCTATCAGTTTTTATAAATCATCTGGTTTGGGACCAGTACAGAAAGAATGGTGAGAAGGGTGCTGATGAACAGACTTGATTTCATACAGAAGTTAGGAGTGATAGGAAAGTTTGTATCACACACACAAACCACAAACGTATTACAGCACAAGCTTCCACCAAAGAAATATGCCATCTACATTGGCCAAGAGGATTTTTGAAGTAAGCAATGCTTAGGAGTCTCTGCATTTGGGTATGCCAGTGATAGTCAATAATGGGGCTGCAAGACCCTTTTAAGGGTACAGTGGGGTGCCACTCAATATTGCCACAGCCAGATGTGCAGACACCTATTCAGGATTCACAGGATAAGCCCAGAGATTTCAAATAGGAATCCATAGCAGCAAAGGCATCTCTGACCTATTGAGGTCTTTGATTTCTTTTGGAACAGAAGAATTCTCTATTATTTTTCTGTAGCAAAAAGTGAAGAGCTGACATTTTCCAAAGGGTTCCTCAAGTCAATGGAAGAAGTTGAGAACCACCGAGGTATACAATCTAATGTCCTCAAAGGCCTGATGCACAAAGGATGGGCAGTTAGTTTCTGAGTAGTGAGGTCCTCTTCAGAAGTCAAGAATTAAAAGTAACCTAAAAAAAACCCACTCAAATCACTGGTTGCTTTTGACAACCTTGCATAATAGTAGCCCAGTCGTGTTTAATCCTCCCTTCCCCCCCATGAGGTTAAGGATCAGTGAATTGAGTTCAGCTCTGTCAGCTGGATGTTTCCTCTCATGCAAACTTCTGCTATTTATACCCTTATTTGAATTCTCTCTCAAGCTTAAGGAAATACAGTCTTTTAATTATGGTTCCTAGGTACTGGTGAACTGAGAAGCACACTGTTTTTAACACCAGTCTGAAGGTCTGTGATACAGGAGTACCTCAAAATCCAGGGGTGGGGGGGTAACCAAAGCACTCCCATCCCCTCACCCCCAAACACACAAATAAGATCTACCTTTACAAACTGAAGCTGTTATGGAGGGAAACCACATATCCTCAGCCATGTTTTCCCTAGTGTCCAGTATTACTGGAGTTTCTGGGTTGTACAGATATAGGATTTGAATAAAGCAAGTTATGTTTCTCCCCTACCCCCATCTTAGGTAAACATGTGCTTTGGAAAATGTATGAAAAGCTATAGAGCATGGTTGCAATCCTTTGATGCACTATGTCAGGTAACAGCATACAGTAGAGACCAAGCCAACATCTTCCTTCTCTTTCCTCTCTATTCAAGAACACAGTTTCTATTTCATTGTTGTCCAGATACTGTAGCAATTTATGTTAGTCACCAGAATCTTCCACAGCCCTCAATTAGATCCACATGCTTCCTTGTAAAGGCTTTCAGGATGATGCTAGTTTTTAGTACTAAAGATATGGAATGCAAAGTTGTTTTTAATCCAAGCACTGTAAACACTTTAGTCTTATACAAGAGCTGTAAGCAGTTCAGGCAGCCCCTAAACTCCTACCGTTGTGCTTTGAGAAATTCAGTAAAATACTTCATAACTTACAGTATGAGCTACTTACATTCTGAAGGACTTGAGCTGCTGAAATGTCTGCCAAGACTCAGGTCTCATAACATACTAGGAAAGCTTTTCCTATTAAACAAGGACATTCAAATTTTACTCTGCGTCATATTTTTAAGCTGATCCTGGACACAGCCTTCTCTTCAGTTCAGACTTTGAATATTTTGTAGAAGAGGGGCGGGAATTGTGAATGCTATGCAAAGAGATTAAGAGAAATATCTAGGAACCCCAGCCAGGGCCTAGAAGGGTGTTATTCTTGATATAACTGGAATTGCAAATAACAAAGAGAATTTTTATTTTAATTATTTATTTTGCTTTAGAAACAAGTTACAAGCATATAAAAAGGCTCGGCAAAAAACTTATGTTGGCAGTGTTGCAAAATAAATCCCTCAAAAGAAATAGGTCATTAGAATTACAAGATGGGGATGGGGTTAGATGAGGAAACCTAACTCAGGAACATGCCTCTATTCTTCTCACTATCACTTCTTACTCCAGCAATAGTCCTTACTGCAGAGGAGCCTGGCTAACTGCAGTAGTCCTTGGTTGGAAAAGCAAGAGTATTTCAAGATCCAAGGCCACTCCATTTGTAACCTGGGAACACTCAAGGGTGTGCCCATCCTCAATTGGAAGGGATAGATGAGGCAGGTAACAGTACTGTGAGGGACACCTATGATTTGAGCTCAGGTCCCCCTTTCGTTTATTGAATAGACTCCACACCAATGCTCTTAACTAGTTACAGTTTAATAAATTATAATATACATACTATTCTTATCCAGTATATATAGGTAAGTATTTCAGTAGGTTATCACCCAACAAAAAGGAAAATTTCCAGTAAGTAGTCCCAGTGATATAAATTCAACACTAAAGGGTATACAGATAAATATTTATAATATGGTAAGCCAGGAACCACCTCCTGGGACTGATTGTCCCAATAGGGAACCCACCTCAGGGATGGCCTTCTCAACCCCTGCACCCTACAAAGGCCTGGCATAACTAGTGAGTCCTCAGGAGGCCTGTGTGAGGAGGGGTCAATACCCAGGATAGGTGAACCAGGTAAGTTAGGGTCAATAGGTAGTTTACAGGGAACCCAGAGGAACCATTGGCAGAGT